TTTATAACAAAGTAGTGTTCAAGTATCGATTTCACTGAATCTTTTATCAAGTTACTGTCGTGTTCCAAAATGGCGGCACACAAAACCGAAATGTAAACACGTTCTTTTGAATTGTGCCAAATGCAGATGAAGGTGATTTTTCTTTGTCTGTTCAGTTTTTTTATAGTATGACATTTGTTTTTGAATATGTTAAAATTTTAGGAAGGAACCTAACCTGCAACTTATCGATTTTCTACATGTACGACAGGCAGTATGTTTTGCATATTCCAAGTAACTACAGCAGCAGTCTCGTGTAACATCTTGAATGAATATCGAAGTTTAATAATGAATTCTTGCCTTTTAATGCATTTCTTGTTGTTTTGAAGTTAACTAGATTAAATTTACTTCATGAAATGACAGTGTGTGTGGTTGTGGTGCTCACAGTAAAGTGACTATGGGGAATGTATATTGCCTCATGTCTTGTATGAATGTCACAGTAAGATATTGAGAATTTGCCTTCTTCTGATATTTTTTTGTGTTTTGGTGTTTATTAGATGAAATGGCTTGTGAAATGACATGCAGTATACTTGATTCTGCATAGAAAGATATATTATGAGAGGGAGATAGATCACTTTTGAGGATATGAAAGTCATTGTTTAGATATTCTGCAAATCCCTTTTCATGCTATTTCTTTGCATTTTGATTTAAGTAAGATGAAAAAAATACAGAAAATATCATATTATCCATGAAAAGGAGTTAAACTTGTACAGGAATGTCCAATAAATGATATGTTTATCTACCTTTTTATACTTTCCGTGACCTTGATCATTGACAGTACAAAGGCTTATATATTAAGCTATCATAATAAGGTATCGATATTACACAGCTGAAGAGATATATAAATATATACTGCCAATAGTGTAGCTTTTCATAACAGTCTGTTGGAATATATCTTGAACATATTTTTTATTTTATCATAAATTGAATAATATATCATGCCCAACAAAAAGCTTAGAGAGGATATTCACTATGGAAAAGTCGATTTAAGGTACTGGCATGTCAGTGAAGAGCATTGTTATCAGCCCAGCATGTGTGTGCATGGGATGAGTGTAGGGGTACACATGCTTGTAAATTATCCAATGAAACTATTTTCACACTTGTAACTTTTATAGTTGTGAAAGATACCAAATTGAAAACCAATCACAAGCATCTTTTCAAATATATGAATAAAAAATTTTAACTTTTCACATTTTTACTCCTTTGTCAGGAGACAAATGTATGATATCAATATGAGTGAAAATTTTTTCTCAAAAATGAGTTTTATATCTTACATTACATATTACAACCTTCATTGGTTGACCATTTTCAATAGATAAACACTTTGCATGATACAATGCCAGTATTACATTGGAAGTGTGTTTTCAAATTGCACATTTTTGTTATAAGGAAAAGTTTATTTTTGTTAAAAATCTCCCCTGCACAAACCTGCAAAAACATGGGTTATAAGTTTGTAAAGGAAAATTGTTTCATGAAAAAAGAACATTAAATTTGTAAAATTCTTTTGTTTTAATTTATAAATGTTGAGTATTTTATGAAACAAAATGTACCAGTACAACAATTAGTGTACAGTAATTGTGTGCACTCTAGTTTGTAGACTTGTATGTATTTCCTAAACTCTTCAGGGCTTCATCTAAATGGGATCTTAATTAATTTACGCATGTTTGCCACAGTTCAGCTTCTGATGATGAGCTTCATTTATCTATACTGATACACTTTAAGAGTAAAAAGTGCTATTTTAGATAATTCAATTGTTACCAGCTTCCCTAATAAATTACCAAGATTGTGATTTATTATTTATATTGATTTTAGTGTGTATTGTTGTTTTGTTTGTTTGTTTGTGTGTGTGTGTAAAAAATATATGCAGTTACAAAAATTTTCCTGTAAATTACTTTTTAAACCTTTTTAATATTTAATCTAATATTTTTCTAGGCTTGAAGAACATGAATGGGACCAGGACAAATTCTTTTTCTAATTCCTTGGCCTGCAGTTTTTATGACAGAATCACCTATCATTTCCAAATACTGTGTGGCAGTGAGCACCATCACAACCTCTGACATTCTTTTAAGGACTGAAAAATATTTTGTGCTGTGCTAGCTGTTGCTTATAATAATATTTATTGATCATCAGTATTACTACATTTGTCATATATTTTACCAATATATTTGAACCATGCACCATAGGTAACGTATGCAAAGTTTAGCTTTTGCATACATGACATGCCTTGTAGACAGAAACTTCTACTTATAAAAATAAATTCAAAGTATGTATTGGTACAGGACTAACTGGGCATCAGTGAAAACAACTGCTGACCCAAGGTAAATTTATAAAATAATATTATTATTAATATTGATCCTGTTTTTAAAAAGAGTGGTGTGTTCATTGGTTAACTGTATGTACTGATTAAGTAGTGTAAAATAATCGCCATATTAATGTGTTGCTAAAATAAAAAATAATTTTTTTGCCACAAATATACAATGTATATGTGTATTACATGTATGAAAATAAAATAAAGAAAATTGAATTGATGTTTCTTTTGTTTTTTCTTTTTCTCATAAAAAGGGACTCTTATCGGTTGGACTCGTATAATAAATAAATGCTTATTTACAAAGAAAAAATATGAAATGTTTATTTTCCTCTATATTATTCTTCCTGTGCAAGCTTCATTTCACAATATAGACTAATGAGCGGTGGAAAAACCAAAACGAGGTCAGAATACCAACAGAATGTACTGAGTCAAAACGAGGCTGGTATACGGTTGTTGCAAGGAAGACATTTTTTGCATACACGATGTAGTGATCCTTTAATTAGAACTGAGTCTTCTAAATTTGCATACATCAGATATGTATATATTTGTACGTTTTAATTATTCAAATATACTTAGACATGACATGTTGCATGGCAGTTTAAGAGAAGTTCATTTGAAATGCAAATCAAGATTTAATTTAAATGTATCTACAATTAAGTTAATGTACATAGGCATGGCATGTTTCATGACAGTTATGAAAGCTAATTTGAAATGCAAATTAAGATAGAGTATAAAGGCAGTGACTGAGCCACAGAGACTTATAGACTTACAGACTGAGAGAGTTAGAGATAGTTATAGATACCACAGAGAGAGAGATGGTAGAAGAGACCTGAGTCTTCAGTTGGTTGAATAAATCATGTAGCGGAAAACTATTCCTGCCTGTCTCAGTTGTCTTATTGGTGAAAATGTAACTCTTAGAACAAGTGTATAACCACCGACCGGTTATTACAACGAGTGTGAATTGATTTGTGCCATTCCTGCGTGAAGGTAAAGTTCCTTACATGCTTACATTTACAGAAAGCTGAATACATTGCCACAACTTACTGGTAATTTAAAATTGGAACCTGTTCTCTAAGAATGCAAGCATTTGAGTCAAAGTTGAAATTCCGCTGTAGCTTTAGTAAAATATTTGGTTTCAAACTCGCTTTTCTACACAAAACAGGGTTTAAATCAACTCGAGGAGCATCTGACATGATTTGCAATTTCCTTTTTAAAATGACAGTATACATAACAAAACTTTTATACCCTTAATAGCCGAGATATTCCACCGTTTCTGACACCCTACAAATCTCAAAAAATTTCACCCAATTCAAATTCTTCAACTTCCGGTTTGGTTAAAAGCCACCTGGCGGCAGACCGGTGGCTCCCAGGCTGCCTAAGCCTTTGGAATTAATATCTGAAGGGACATTTTTGAGAGACCACATGAGAGAGCTAAAGAAGACGGGCGCGAGTTATGGGGGATGGTTCCGAAGTTAGAGACTTCACGTAGATCAAGTAGTTAGCGAGCGTCAACAAATAAATCGTGTAACTGGTCTTCATGCGTCCTTGGGATTTCTTTGAGCGACTTTACGTAAATCTGACACGAATCGTGGAATTTCGGATTGTATTTTGTGCGGTATAGAAAGGAAATATTGCTTGATGGCCAGTGTGAATGTTAGTACAAAATGCACTCAAACTGTACTTGTAAGAAGGTTGATTTTAGGTTATACAAATCAGAAAACCCTATATGGGCTATATGAACCGACATACATAAATTGGCTCAATCAAAATACTGCTTGGTTATTAACTTATTATTGTGATCTTCAGTAACAAGGCTGTGATACGGATAAGCTCAGATGTGATTGTAAAGAGTTGCTGACTAACGTATCAACTGTTCAACTAAGGGACCATTCCCAGACCCTATCGTACTAACTGTGGATCAGGGGATTCTCGCTAAATTGCTTTCAGCTTAAGCAGCTCTGCTGTCTGTCACGCCTACTAAAGTTGTAAGTAGGTAATCAACTCTCGCTTAACAGCTTCAGTAGGCGTGCTAGACATCTAAGCCGCTTAAGCTGAAAGCAATTTAGCGAGAATCCCCACGGAGATAGACCGATCCCGCTAGATCGATCTAGGTATGGGAATGGGGTCTTAGGTAAGTCCATTGATGGTTCAATCCGCATCCCTGCCGTCCCAACAGCAGCTTTTGTTCAAGTGTCGTTGATTGTGGCATGCTGCAGCTGAACTGTAGATGGCAAGGCTTGTAGCGATCCTTGCTGCAACTGAATTGGCACAAGTCTCTCATGTATGGCCTACTGCAACTGAGATTTCACCCAATTTTACGTGCTTCACCTTAAAATATATCATCATCATCACTTTAAACTAAGGCAAAACTTATTTTAATTGAAAAACAGATGAAGAAGAAATGTCACATAATACAAAATGATGGCTTTGCCCAAGATGGCTAAAATTAAATAGCAGTAGGCAGGTTCCCTTACTTCTGATAAGTACCTGTAGCATATTTCACGTGACCTAATGTTGTTCAAAGTTCCCCACCCTGAATTCAAATGTAATTATTAAATGGACAGGGCAGGTATGTTGAAACCTATTAAACCTATTTAAAGGCCCTTTAAATATAGGGCTTTAGGAAAAGGTGTAGGTAGAGCAGAAAACTGAAAACATGGCGTTTGGAAAACTGTCTGTCTTTTTCTTGTACCTTATTCTTTTGAGTGCAGTTCTTGAATCGCTTGATGGAGGATATTTCCACTCATTTTCAAGAGTAAGCAACCAGTTTTCAGCAAAGCTTTACAACAAGATTCGCACGATTCCCTCGACGTCGAATATATTTTTCTCCCCGCTCAGTATCTCTGCTGCACTGGGGATGCTGGAACTGGGAGCACGAGGGAATACGAAAGTTCAGATGGATGTCGCCTTGGAGATAGAGAATATTACCAATATTCAAATAAACATAAGTCACGTTCTTGCAGATACGAACGGCGTCACCAACAGTTTCACTCTCCGTTTTACTAATAGATTGTTTGGAGATCAAGGCTTCTCTTTAAATACCAGCTACATTGATGACAGTCTTGCGTACTATGGAGCGCCACTGGGACGTTGTGATTTTGTTAATTTTCCGGAAGAATCAAGGGATGAGATCAACAAATGGGTTAAAGAGCAAACGGAAGACAAAATCAAAGATCTTCTTGAACCGGGCGATATCACCCCCTCTACCATTCTTGCTCTAGTAAGTGCTGTGTATTTTAAGGGGAAATGGGAATCCCACTTTGACCAGATGCAGACAAAAAAACGTCCTTTCTACACTGCTAATCCTCGCCCCACGTTAGTAGATATGATGACACAGACTGGACTGTTCAGGCATATTTACAACGAAAAATGGCAGGCCTCCATGATAGAAATTCCATACTACGGAACTGCTAGAATGCTCATCATACTGCCCGACCAGCATGATGGACTCAGCCATTTTGAATCTCAGTTTACCGGTGAAGAAATACACAGGCTTTTCCATTCTATGCAGGAATCGACGCATTCTATCTCCACAGTTTCCATCCCACGGTTTGTATTAAAAAACATGCGCATTGATCTTAAAGAACCACTCAAGAGTCTTGGGATGACCGACCTGTTCTCGTCCAACGCTGACCTGTCAGGTATAGGAGGAACCCCTGGTGAACTTCAGTTGTCAAAGGTAGGATTGCAGATGGTACTGATGATTTATAGAAAATTTTCACATTTGAATTTGAATCGAGCCATCTCTTAACAAGTCGGCTTTAGAACATTCCTCTAGAGAATTTTGTTATTAGGCTATGTATGTTTGTGTCAGGAGTTTATTTTTCCTTAGCAAAACAAGCCCTTATCCATCCACACGTGCTGTTCTGGTTTTCTAAACGACTTTAACCGCAAAAGTTGATCGAATCATTACCTCTGGTCGTGATTTTCTGGTTATTTTATATAGTAAGCCTCTGCATTCACTCGTGGTCAGCACAGTTGGTGATATATATCCAGACGTATCCGTTTAAGTCACATGGTTCGATTAAGCAAGCTATTTTAGTTTTGGCTACAATGTACACTTTATATGTCTATACAATTAGCCAAAAATCGAATTAGGTTCCGTTCCATATTGCTTCAAGTTCCATCTGTATATTTCAATTAAAGGGTATCAGGACAATTCCCCCCCGAAATATTCCCCCCGGACAATTCCCCCCCCAGGACAATTCCCGCCCGGACGATCCCCCCCCCCCCGAAGAATATATTTATATACAAATATTAAGTAAAGAGTACAAAGTTAAAATCTTTTCATCCATTTTCTGAATATTTTTTAGTGTGATGATGCAAATCAAGGATAGATAATATTAATTTTATTAAACAAATTATTATTTTAATGGAGTACAAGTACATAAAATTTTCGAGACAGAAGTACAGAACATTTTATTAAAAATCTGATCAAAGTATATATTTCCAGGTAAAGGAGGGGTAAACAGATGATCTCACTCATCAAGGTAGCCCTTTGATGAATTAACTGTTACTTTTAATTGCTTTATTTCTCCCCCCTTGATTGAGTAAGTCTTGAATCAAGATGCATCTCTAGGGAGAGGTGGGGTTAACAGATTTTCTCCCTTATCCAGGTATCCCTGTGACTATTTGTCACTTTTAATTGCTTGACCACTACCCACCACCCACCACACTAAAAATATTTATAAAATATCTATATCTTTATAAAATATCTGTTTAACTGTTCATCTGTTTACCCCACCTTTACCTGTAGGATAGGTGGTTATACTTCGCTTAGATATTTAAAAAATCTTCCTGTACTTGTACTCAATGAAAAGGGAATTTGTTGTAAAATAATTTGTTTCGTGATGAAGTTGTATTATCACACTAAAATATTAATAAAATGGATGAAATGTTTTAAATCTTACACTCTCTACTTTATATTTGTATATATAAAAATTTATATTTGTTGGGGGGGGGGTCGGGGGGGGATTGTCCTGGGGGGATTGTCCGGGGGGGGGGGGGGATTGTCCTAGAATCCAATTAAAGAAAGTTCAATATCATTGAAGTGCAAATGAAAAGTGCGTTGTTTACAATTCTCAATTAAACAAGAGCATATGTATAGTCCTCTACCAAAAAGTGTCACCCCTAGTGAAATGCGTAAAGTGATACATAAATTCATGGCGTGAATTAATGTTCTTCTTTGACTTGTAAAAGGAATATTTTCACAAAAACTTACTGATTGTACCACCAATGAATGAATAGTGTTACTTTTGTAATAGGGTNGTCGTGCCTCGGTTACACTTTAATTATAAGTGACTGTACCACCAATGAGTAAACTAACTGTATTAAAACATTTTTTTAAAGTCATGTTTTAGTTTTTTGTACAGTATCCTCTGGATTGGACGACGTACATGTGGCGTCTGTGCGTTGAGCCAAAAATTTCTATAACGTTTGCGTAGTGATGGCGTTCCACATACGGTGCAAAGATAAAATGAGACTATTTTTCTTTGCAGAATTACCCCTCTAGCCCTCTGAAAGGTTCTCATAGAACAACCCAATGTTCATGCAATTCGACGGGTCAAAACTAACTCCTATGTCAACCGCTTGGTAAAAAAGATATGTTTATCCACCAGCTTCCATTTCTGATGGTCTTATAGCGAATGTTGACGGTGAGCCAACGTCGTGTCATGAAGCTGACTAACGTTGGCGCTAGCAATGAAAATTCCCTCAGCTGTAAGTTTATGCCGTGAAATCTTTCTGTGGCACCAACATGTAGGCATAAATCACACGCATATATCCAATTTAATGCTTTTTATTGACACAATAATAAGACCATTGTTAAAAACCATGCAGCAAGGTCAGCTCTTCCAACATGCAGTTTGCGCTAGAAATCACTGGGATGGATCAAAGTACTGTAGCAGTTGCACGTGGCATGGTTCAAGTAATATTTTGATATTTCTAGCATAAGTTTAACTTAATATATTGGCCTCGCATCTGCAACGGCACAATTTGTCTTAATTCTCTGACCTCATCTTCTAATTTGATGGAGTGTAAAACATACGATCTTTTTACATACTGACAATAAAGTAATACTCTATACAGCAAACAGAAAAAACGACCGTTGCTTTAAGTCAAAGTCACTAATTGTTATTTGAAAAAACTTCAAAGTGAAAATTGAACACATGATGTTTACAGGTACATTAAACCGACGTTAATGCTGGTATAATGCTAATTAGTTTTCAACAGACGTCAGAGACACTGCGTTTGATGGCGTTATAACGTGAGTTGTCTGATTAAATCATTTGGTATCCAAAGCAAAACTATAGAAATACGTCACATTGTTTTATTTTTTAATGTTTTCATGTGTATTTTTCATCGTTTTCAATCATAAACAAAACCTTCCAAATTAAGTGCTTTCCGCACATTTAAAAGTTTAAAATTTTTAGACAGAAAAATGTCCATACTTAAATACTTAACATATTTGTATTACTTATCATAGATGGTTAGATTATATTTATTGTGAATTGTGTCTTTACCATGTATGTATGTGTAGTTTACAGCAAGGCTTTTGAGCAGTAAATAACAACATACAGCCCAAAACGTGTCCAATTTACTTGTCATTGAGTTCAGAAATACATAATTCAACAAATGCTTTTTTTTTTGCCGATAATGCATTCAACGTTGAACGAAATGGGGCCACATTAAACATAAGTGAGGCAGGGTCGACATTCAGATTTGTTAGAATTAACGGTGTCACTAATAGCGTTTCTCCACCAATATCTGACTTTTTAAAGCCTGTGTCTGTGTAGACAACGATGTGATTTATAAATTCGATGTTAGTGGCACGTGGCACGTTGTTCTTGACATGGTTCAGTGAATGGTTTTGTAAACCTTGATATATTCAAAATCCAACCAACAACAAACAAAGACGAGTGCAAACTTTTACAACCTGGCCTTAAGACTTGAAGTCACATTGTATTTGTCTTTTGTTTTGTGCGAGGGCAAAAATTCTACCTTTTTATTCTAGACATATCTCCCATTACATGTAAAGAATATTTTTCATGCCAATTTTGTTCGGTCTCCGCAATTATAATTTTATTTGAATAATGCTTATACTGTTTGGACTGCCCACTATAAAGAAATTGTTGGATTTTTAGTACCACAGTGGAAGCAGAACTAAATATCCTTTATTGCTTTTACATTTAGTTATATTTGTAGACTGTTATGAAAATTTACTTATATCTGTAGACTGTTATGAAAATTCAGTTTTCGTGAAGGACGCCCTGAATGTATTATGTTTACAACCCACAATTAGCGCTTAACCCAAACCGAATGTACATTATCATTCTGATCAGCTTTAGCGGCCCATTACACCAATAAAAATCTTGCAGAATACTGAATTTGTTTTTAAAAGATGTCATTTAGCCATCCTGTGTCTCCAGGCGTCATACTGAGAGCAGTTTTTATTGCTTTAACACAAGGCACATGCCTTGTAAAGCTTACCATAAGACGATGAGGATGACATTAAAATCAGGGTGTTCCGAAATGTTTACGCACTTTGATTTGCCTGGGAGAGAGAATAGAGAATATTTGTATGCAGGCAAAACCATGCAAACCTGTTTCTGATGTGCTCTATATCAAAACCACAAAGCCTTCTCGCCGGCACTTTACAATTTAATTGATAAGGGAAAAGGCTAGGCAGGGAAGGAGCGAAAACATAAAACATGGTGTTTGGAAAGTTTTCTATCCTGCTACTACACCTCATTCTGAATGGAATTTTTGGATTGAGTGATGGGTGTTTAGCTCACCCCTACTCATATGTAAGCAATAGGTTTTCGGTAAAGCTTTATGACAAGCTCGGCACGTCACAGTCATCGTCGAATGTCTTCTTTTCCCCTCTCAGTATCTCTGCTGCATTAGGCATGCTGGAACTGGGAGCTCGAGGCAATACCAAAACCCAGATAGATATCGCCTTGGAGACAGAGAACGCGGTCGATATTCATGAAAATATTAGCCGCGTTCTCGAAGATACGAACAACTCAAACAACAATTTCACACTCCAAATTGTGAATAGACTGTTTGGAGAGCAGGGATTTTCTTTTAATTCAACCTACCTTGCAGACAGTACTACGTTCTATGGCGAGCCGCTGGAGCGCCATGATTTTGCAAATTCTCCGGAAGAATCAAGGGTTGAGATTAACAAGTGGATCAAAGAACGAACGGAAGACACAATCAAAGATATTTTTCAACCGGGCGACATCACCGACTCTTCCATTCTGGCTCTTGTAAGTGCTGTGTACTTCAAAGGCAATTGGGCCTCCCCCTTTGACAAAAGGCAGACCAGGAAACGTCCTTTCTATACTGCTAATCCTCGCCCCACGTTGGTGGATATGATGACACAGACTGGTCGATTTAGGTATGCCCACAGCGAGACATGGCAGGCCTCCATGATAGAAATTCCTTACTACGGAACGGCCAGCATGCTGATCATACTACCCGACCAGCGTGATGGACTCGGTTATTTTGAATCTGAGTTTACCATCGATGAGTTTGACAGACTTCGGCGTTCTATGCAGGGGACAAGGGTGTCATTGTCGCTCCCTGGGTTTGTATTGGAAAACATGCGCATTGATCTTAAAGAACCACTCAAGAGTCTTGGGATGACCGACCTGTTCTCGTCCAACGCTGACCTGTCAGGTATAGGAGGAACCCCTGGTGAACTTCAATTGTCAAAGGTAATATTGCCGATAATACATAAAAAATGACCCTATTTCGGCCTATTGAGACATCTCCTCATTTTGATATGAAAATAATTAAAGCAAGCAGAAAGTGAAATATTAGCTTTTGCATGTCCACCAAAAATCACTTATTTACCAAAAATTTGTGATGCTAAAAGAAATCTGTCACCATGAAAAGCCGTTTTTGGTGAAGCTTGGAAAATTTATCGTCGGATGATCCCTAGAGAAAATGTTGGTAAATGACGATCATGAAATTATGTTATATATTATGTTTAAAAAAAAAAAAACGTTTGGCTAAAGTGGATCGAACCATCACCTCTTGTTGTGGTTTTCTATAGCTAGTTATTTGTTTCAGTTAGTCTACTTACTTTCTGGTCATCACAGTGGAATGGTATATAGGATTTATCCGTTAAAGCCACATGATTCCATGGAGTGACCATACAGGTTCCTTTATCTGTTAAAGCTGCGATCTATATATGTTAGTCTTTGGTTCTTTTTCATTCCTCTTTCGCTGTTACCGTTTACAGCAGTCTGCGGTTCAAAGTCGGGGGGAAGATTTGAATGGTTGGGCTTGTTGTTCTGCAGCTATGAAATGACATGTGGTTCATCAACAGCTTCTAGCAATGTTGAGTAAATACTGTACGATCACTTCTATTGTTATCAAACGGAGTATTGTACGCAGTTAAGAGTCTTTCTGATATAGCTTTTTCAAAATATTCTTTAGAAACCTTTTCATTGTTTTAAAGGACACCAGAGTCATTATTGATGCTGTATCACGAGGCACACAACGTGTGTACAAAACAGAATGGCATAAAAACGACTACATACAGTATTACAAACTGTCAAGTTAATGTACCTAATTGTATCTAGATGTATCATTATTCGTTTGGGAGAGAGAACGGGAGTATTTGTATGCAGGCAAAACTATACGTGTTTTTAAACGCTACCAGAACCATTTTTGCTTCTGTATTACAGAGCACACATCGTGTGTAGAATGCTTAAAAAAAAAAAAAAGCTATCAGAATGTCATTAAAACGAGTACAGATCTCGTGTTACAAACTGTCAAATTAAGGTATCTTGTTGTATCTAGATGAATCATGGTTTATCTGCGAGAGAGGTGTTTGGGATAAGCCACAACATATTAAACCTTTTCACAACCCTTTTATCTAGTGTGTTTGGAATATGTTCTTTTTGCGGAGTGGCATACTGTTTATATAGCTTTGTTGTTGGTTTTTCATCCCTCTCGTCGACCGGACTTCACAGAAATTGAAAGATAATATATAATCTCAATAATACAGCATTGGGGCCACCTACTGGTTATATAACAAATTCGGATATAGGCCTAAGCCTTTGGAATTAATATCTGAAGGGACATTTTTGAGAGACCACATGAGAGAGCTAAAGAAGACGGGCGCGAGTTATGGGGGATGGTTCCGAAGTTAGAGACTTCACGTAGATCAAGTAGTTAGCGAGCGTCAACAAATAAATCGTGTAACTGGTCTTCATGTGTCCTTGGGATTTCTTTGAGCGACTTTACGTAAATCTGACACGAATCGTGGAATTTCGGATTGTATTTTGTGCGGTATAGAAAGGAAATATTGCTTGATGGCCAGTGTGAATGTTAGTATAAAATGCACTCAAACTGTACTTGTAAGAAGCTTGATTTTAGGTAATACAAATCAGAAAACCCTATATGGGCTATATGAACCGACATATATAAATTGGCTCAATCAAAATACTGCTTGGTTATTATTGTGATCTTCAGTAACAAGGCTGTGATACGGATAAGCTCAGATGTGATTGTAAAGAGTTGCTGACAAACGTATCAACTGTCCAACTAAGGGACCATTCCCAGACCCTATCGTACTAACTGTGGATCAGGGGATTCTCGCTAAATTGCTTTCAGCTTAAGCAGCTCTGCTGTCTGTCACGCCTACTAAAGTTGTAAGTAGGTAATCAACTCTCGCTTAACAGCTTCAGTAGGCGTGCTAGACATCTAAGCCGCTTAAGCTGAAAGCAATTTAGCGAGAATCCCCACGGAGATAGACCGATCCCGCTAGATCGATCTAGGTATGGGAATGGGGTCTTAGCTAAGTCCATTGATGGTTCAATCCGCATCCCTGCCGTCCCAACAGCAGCTTTTGTTCAAGTGCCGTTGGTTGTGGCATGCTGCAGCTGGACTGTAGATGGCAAGGCTTGCAGCGACCCACGCTCCAGCTGAAATGACACAAGTCTCTGATGTATGGCCTACTGCAACTGAGATTTCACCCAATTTTACGTGCTTCACCTTAAAATATATCACCATCATCACTTTAAACTAAGGCAAAACTTATTTTAATTGAAAAACAGATGAAGAAGTAATGTCACATAACACAAAATGATGGCTTTGCCCAAGATGGCTAAAATTAAATAGCAGTAGACAGGTACCCTAACTTCTGATAAGTAACGTATTTCACGTGACCTAATGGTATTTTAAGTTTTACCACCCTGAATTCAAATGTAATTATATAATGGACAGGACAGGTATGTTGCAACCTATTAAGCCTATTTAAAATCCCTTTAAATATAAGGCTTTAGGAACAGGTCTAGGCAGAGTAGAGAAAAAGAGAAAACTGAAAACATGGCGTTTGGAAAACCGTCTGTCCTTTTGATGGACCTGCTGCTTTTAAGTGCAGTTCTTGAATCGCTTGATGGAGGATTTCTCCACTCATTTTCAAGAGTAAGCAACAAGTTTTCAGCAAAGCTTTACAACAAGATTCGCACGTTTCCCTCGACGTCGGATATCTTTTTCTCCCCGCTCAGTATCTCTGCTGCACTGGGGATGCTGGAACTGGGAGCTCGAGGGAATACAAAAGTTCAGATGGATGTTGCCTTGGAGATAGAGAATATTACCAATATTCACATAAACATAAGTCACGTTCTTGCAGATACGAACGGCGTCATCAACAGTTTCACTCTCCGTTTTACTAATAGATTGTTTAGAGATCAAGGATTCTCATTTAATACCAGCTACATTGAGGAAAGTCTTGCATATTATGGAGAGTCACTGGGACGTCGTGATTTTGTAAATTATCCAGCTGAAGAATCAGGGGATGAGATCAACACATGGGTTGAAGAGCAAACGGAAGACAAAATCAAAGATCTTCTTGAACCGGGCGATATCACCCCCTCTACCCTTCTGGCACTCGTAAGTGCTTTGTATTTCAAAAGCAAATGGGCGTCCTCCTTTGACCCGTCGCAGACCAGAAAACGTCCTTTCTATACTGCTAACCCTCGCCCCACGTTAGTGGATATGATGACACAGACTGGACTGTTTAGGCATATTTACAACGAAAAATGGCAGGCCTCCATGATAGAAATTCCATACCACGGAACTGCCAGAATGCTCATCATACTGCCCGACCAGCATGATGGACTCAGCCATTTTGAATCTCAGTTTACCGGGGAGGAAATTCACAGCCTTTTCCATTCTATGCAGGAATCGACACTTGCTATCTCGACAGTTTCTATCCCTCGGTTTGTATTAGAAGACATGCGAATTGATTTAAAAGAACCACTTGAGAGTCTTTGGATGACCGACCTGTTCTCGTCCAACGCTGACCTGTCAGGTATAGGAGGAACCCCTGGTGAACTTAAGTTGTCAAAGGTAGGACTGTCGATTATGCACAGAAAATGGTCATGTTTTAACAATTAAACTATCTATCGATCCTTTATATAATTGCAGCAAGACAGAAACGAAAATAACAACTTTTGCATTTTCCCTTAAAATTATTTTTGATAAAATATGTGCCAATTCAGTTTGCAGTGAATAGAAAACAAAAATGAAATTTAAAGAGAAGAACAATGTTAATCTATCTTGCATGCAAGAACTGGTATTAAAACCCACTTTGTCCACGACGTGCTAGGAACATGTCCTTTTTGAGTGGGGAGTGGTGATCATAATGTTTGTATGAGGGCAAAAATTCAACCCTTTTGCTCTAGACATACCTCCCTGTACATGTAAAGCATATTTCATAATCCAATATGGCCGCCAGTTCGATTGACAATCATACATGCAGGTCAGCTATAAATCAAACTTTATTCTTTATTTCGGTGTTTTACATCCATGTTTATGAATACAATATGATCGCATATTGCGATTATTTATTACATCTAATCAAGCCATTTAAAACCAAAGTGACCATCAAAACGGTATGAGAAGTCAAGAAAAAGCTGTGAAATCATGATTTTCACTGACAAAAGGTTAACCGTCACACCTGCAGTCAAATCAGCGAGGTGAGATCGTCAGTAATGACAAATAAAACAGTTAGTAATGACCAGGCATCAGAATGTTATATATGTACCGCACATGTACGTGCTTATTTTGAAGTCTACTGAACAGATTTAGAATAAAGACTTAAAATGAATATATAATTATTATAGTATATTATATTAAAATATCACACCTTCGGTCAAAGCAGGCAACAAGATGATGAAGCAGATTTTTATCTGACTGATACGGGCAAAGGGATATGTATTTCCCTCTGTTGTTAACCAATCTCAGCCATAAGCCTTATGTCTCAGCCATAAGCCTCTGGTTTTGAGGAAATACTACGTTTTGGATGACTGTTATATGTACATGTAAATCAAATCGGGATTTTAAAAAAATTAGAATTGTTCACAAACATTGCCATTTGGTGACAAACCACGAATTTCATATTATTTTAGATATCGTCATCTTCATCAAGCTGTTCTTCATCACTAACTAAATCCTGGCTGCTATCTTCTTTGGTGTTTAATACACCAAGATGATAGAAATAAAATAAAATGGTTAAAAGGGGATGTCCTTGATATTAACGAAACTGTTGAGCAGTAAGGAGTACAGGATTCAAAATACTTCGTTTGCGCGAAAGTGTGCGGTACTAAAAAGTGACAAGGTGTCCACGCTCTACCAGGATGTGATACGGATAAGTTCTGATGTGACTGTGGAAAGTTGCTGTCCATCTTTTTTTTAGTCCTTTGAAGGTTAAACCATCATCCCTACCGTCTCAACAACAGCAATTGCTCAAGTGTCGTTGGCTGTGGCATGCCGCAGCTGAACTGTAGATGGCAAGGCTTGTAGCGATCCTTGCTGCAACTGAATTGGCACAAGTCTCTCATGTATGGCCTACTGCAACTGGGATTTTACCCATTTTTACGTTCATCACCCATAATTTATCACTACCATTCACTTTTAACGAGCCCAAAATTACTTATATAGAAAAACAGTTGAAGTTGAATTTTGATATAATACCGAATGATGGCTTTGCCTCAGGATTGCTAACAGTATAGGCAGGTTCCCTAATTTCTGTTGAGTAGTATATTTCATGCGAAGTATAACAGCTACAGTCCCATCTATAAATTGCAATAAAAGAACTTCTCGTGTGTACATATTGTACATGTACGAACCATGAATCCACAATTAACCCAAAGTAAATGTGTGTTATCAATCTAAGCTTAACCAGCAATGCACATCTTGCAGAAAACTTTAGTTTTTAAAAAGGTTCCAGAGCCACCCTGCGTTACTTTATCACTAGCTGCTGATTGCATACTCCCCTAGCAAAAAAGTGTCACCCCTAACGCAACGCTTTACGTGATACAGAAAATCATGTGCGTCATGTGCCAGTGTTCTTTATTCAACGTCTATTTTTTTCACAAAAATTACTGATTGTACAACAAATNAATCATATAAAAATGTTAAAATATAATAAATTATCACTAAATAATATCACGGCACACATTTTTAATGGCTCAGCCAGATTTTGACCCAGGAAGATTCCTGTTGCCTGATTTTTTTATTTTATCCCAAGCCAATTGATCTTGTGTTCAACTTTTAGCAAATTATTTATTATACATAGTTTATAAAAATAATTTCTCAATGTTTAGGAAAAAAATCAAGTTGTAGGAGTAAATATATCAGCATTTGTATATTTCATTTCAAAGAGAAGGTCGAGGTGGTCTTTATTTTCTTCTTAGTGAAATTAATCTAAACACACACAAAAAAAGGAAAAAAAAAACAATTAACAAAATGTGTAAAGTAATATGAATATTGCATGCACGATGTCTTTAATGCCTAAATTTAAAATAAATATGTATATTTATTATTGATATTTATTTGATTTCATGTTGTAAATTTAATATGAAAGATGTCTTTAGATGAATATTCTAACTTATTTGCCACCTAGTTTCCAAAGCACGTTTGTCAAGAAATATGGCTATGTAACTTACCAGTAGTAAGAAATTGATACATTGAGTAAACAATGTATATAAAAATATACAAAGAGTAAACAATTTATCCAGGTATCTTAATGTTATATATATATATATATAAAGGAATAGGAAGATAAAAATCACATGAGATTGATATACAGACTTAACATTTAATATGGAATTTTTTTTCCAAATCATTTTTCATAATTTTTTTTCCTATTTTGCTGACTGATAAATGAAAATAAGAATTAAAATCGTGTTTTTATAACTTTTAATTATCTCTTTGATGTCATTATGGCATAAGTTCATTAATTGAATTCGCCAGAGAAGCAAACAAAAACACATCGCCTATTCTATGTCATACGACAACCATTAAAAGAGATATTTTGGATCTCCATATATTTAAAATTATTGTCTGTAAAAGAGTTACACGCTTCACAAAGGACCCTCATGTCAGTGTCTAGTCACAGTAACGGTCGCTGTTACGCCTGACTTCTTCTGGCTGCTACCAGCGCTCTCAAGCGGCAAGGCATTCCTTGGGATAGGTTTTTAGAGTTCAACCTGGAATAACAATCCAGGCATCGGTCAAAATCTGTCAAATGTGGCCCAGTTTTATTGTAGGACATGTAAGCCATTGATTCGACGAGTAATGGCCTATCCTCATGTTGTCTATGTGGTTCAAATATGGCGATTTTGATGACCCAGGTAGCTGCTCATTGCCTTGGTTCTGTCAGTTATCTGCTATTAACAGTGCTCTGTGTGAACCAGCAATATCACCGTGCAACCTAAAATTGATCCTAAGGTGCCCCCTATCAAATTATAGTCAAACTCTGTTTTGACTAGTTGAGCGGTACAGGTGAAATCTGACCTCAATAAAGAAAGCCACGCGGTTTCAGTGTTCTACCCAGAAACGATCAAGGTCCCCAATTCATTAGAGAAACACACAACGATGTTTTGCTGTTTACAGTGGGTTCCTCGGAGGTCGTCTGGTATTCTAACCTACTAAAACCTACTAATACGGACTGGGTGGTTTTTGTTTTGTTGCAGCAGCATACCCCAAAAGACAGTGGGTACCGTACCCTGGTGGTAAGATTTCAATACATTGGGTGTGGCCTCTGTGTAGATACATCAGTCTGGGCATTACTCTATAAAACTGTGCGGACTGTCTGTCTGTATGGCAATGTCTGTCTTTTTCGCGCCATTCTGCCACAGATTAACAAATTTGTAAAACACTGCATAGCTCATTTTACACACTGCAAAACTGACCACTTGCATGCAAAATTTCAAATTCTTCTATGCAATAGTTGCCGACATATGGATACTTTTTCTGGCAGAATCATGCTTTGCCAAAGCCAAGCTTTGACCTGCCCAAAGGAGCATTTCCCAATTAAATCACTGCAAATTACATAATACAGCAGCGCAACAAACCTGGTATTCAGTTAATTGGTAGCGACACACCTGACTACACACTTCTCCATTCACATATCTTATATGAGATCGGTGTTTTTTTTTTTTTTTTAAAAGAACGCACTTTTACCTAGGCATACCTTCGAAACTGAAATATTTCATATTAAATGTCAAGTCTGTATATGCTTTAAGGCCCAATATGGCGGCATTCCATGAGGCATACTGATTCCAACTGATACTTTCAACATTTGAATATCCATTTTTATGAATGGGATGTGCAAACTTTATGAAATTTGGTTAACAAATGCAGAGAAGTATAAATATAAATTTCATGGAAGCAAAAAATAAGTGTACAAGTTTTAAAAAATCCATGATACATGTACAAACATATTTACATCAATTTGCTGGGCAATTTCCATTGATTCCTGTGTAACATTAATAAAAATTGACGTTCAAGCAGCCCTGGCTCAAAAACAAGCTGGATATGGTACTTATTATTATTATTATTATTATTATTATTATTTTGTAAATTTCTTTGACTTCTACCAGGAACTGTAACATATCCACTTAAAATTAAAATCGCTAGGGCAGAATATTTTTTATTTTTGCATTTTATAGCCAAATTAAGGGCATTTTGGCAAAATTCCCATATAACGCAATGTAATAAACGTGGCGTTTTAAGGGACGCCACCTCTCGAAAACGAGTATATCATAGGGTAAGGCTAGGTAGGTCAATGCTCTACTACTCACATCCTCGGGTTACACGATGATCGGTTGCCTAATTATGTAATAGTGAAATTTAAATCATAGGAACCCTTGTATCAGTGTACATAATTGCGCTAGTGGTAGCACTTTTTGACTAGGGGAGTATATGTACAAGAGTACAATAGTCTGTCATTTCCGTCTGATGGTAAGAACGGGGAGTATTTGCATGCATACAGGTAAACTCATACACACGTGTAGTGTAATAAGTAACATGGTCTGGGTTAAAGGTCAGGGGATGCTATGTATACGACGTGGTATACTGCAATCTATTAAACCTATTTAGCATCCCTTTAAAATATAAGGCATTTAAAAAAGGGGCTTGGCATAAGAGAGAAAACAGAAAACATGGTGTTTGGAAAAACGTCTGTCCTTTTGTTGCGCCTTCTGTTTTTGAGTACAGTTTTTAAATTGATTGATGGGGGATCAAGCCACCCATTTTCAAGAGTAAGCAACAAGTTTTCAGCAAAACTTTACAACAAGATCCGCACGTTTCCCTCGGCGTCGAATATCTTTTTCTCCCCGCTGAGTATCTCTGCTGCACTGGGAATGCTGGAACTGGGAGCACGAGGGAATACGAAAGTTCAGATGGATAGCGCCTTGGAGATAGAGAATATGACCAATATTCATTTAAACATTAGTCATGTTCTTGAAGATATGAACAACGTCATCAACAGCTTCACTGTCCGTATTACCAATAGATTGTGTGGAGAACAAGGATTCTCTTTTAATACCAGCTACATTAAGGACAGTCTTGCGTACTATGGAGCGCCAGTGGGACGTCGTGATTTTGTAAAATTTCCGGAAGAATCAAGGAATGAGATCAACAAATGGGTTGAAGAGCAAACGGAAGACAAAATCAAAAATCTTCTTGAACCGGGCGATATCACCACCTCTACCATTCTGGCTCTCGTAAGTGCCGTGTACTTCAAGGGAAAATGGGAATCCCCCTTTGACCCGTCGCAAACCAGAAAACGCCCTTTCTATACTGCTAATCCTCGCCCCACGTTAGTAGATATGATGACACAGACTGGACTGTTTAGGCATATCTACAGCAAGAAATGGCAGGCCTCCATGATAGAAATTCCTTATGACGGAACGTCCAGAATGCTTATCATACTACCCGACCAACAAGATGGACTCAGTCATTTTGAATCTGAATTTACAGGGGAGGAAATTCACAGGCTTTTCCATTCTATGCAGGAATCGGCGCTTTCTATTTTGACAGTTTCGATCCCTCGGTTTGTATTAGAAAACATGCGCATTGATCTTAAAGAACCGCTCGAGAGTCTTGGGATGACCGACCTGTTCTCGTCCAACGCTGACCTGTCAGGTATAGGAGGAACCCCTGGTGAACTTCAGTTGTCAAAGGTAATAATGTCTCCGATGCAAAGAAAAATTGTCATATTTTGACTTTGAATTGAGACGTGTCTTCTCTGTTGTTGTAAAAGATTAGACTGGCACTAAAATAACAACTTTTGAATGCAAAGATTAGTCTTTAAACATTTTATTTAAACAGCATAATTGGATACTGGTCATTTTACGAAGTGGAATGCTGTTAATATAATTGATAAGTGTCTGTTGCTGATTTCCGTACCACTCATAATTGAGCACTTTCGTTATTTTTCTAAAATTCTTGTGAGGTTCCTCAGCACTGTTCTACCTAATTTTTTCCACGAATGCTCTGCTAGGTTTTCAACTGGGCTTCGAATACGCTGTAGTGTGTAAAATGTTTTATTGCTTGACAAACTTAAATATATCCTGGAATATTCCTTCATAGAAAACGGCGCCTGGCAGTGCTACATGAAGTTACATTAGGTTCGAATTCCTTCTTCAACTGAACATAAACTGTTTGTTATCCTACCCAGACTATTCAAATATAGCAAAACACCTTTTTAATGTTTGCCACGTAGCCAGTTAGCCTTCAGAAAAAAATATTGAAATTAAATAAAATGAATAAAGTTAAATATAACATATTACAAACATACAGCAGTGTGAAATTTTACTTTGATGTCACTATCGTCAGTCATTTATATGAAAACTATTAGTCAAAGTTGTGCAGGTTGCTGTCAGGAGCAAGAGAGTAAAATGGTACAGCAAAAGCTTATAAATGTTTCTCTCATTATTATAACTGAGCAGAGGTCATTTTAGGCCACAGTGAAAAGTATTTTTCACATCTCGTGATCCACATTTATTCCGTCCCGGAACGAAAACAAAGATATATACAGTACAAAGCGGCGATGACCTGCAAACGGAAGCAAATGGCTAAAATCATTGTCGTAAAAGGCGCCCAAAAGTGGATCGAACCATCACCTCCTGTTGTGATTTCTTGAATTGTTTGATCCAACAAAGATTACACATACATTAAGGGAAAATTGGGCATGGCCACTTTTGCTAAAAATGATGGAATATATAATCTCCAACAGAACATTGTGTTTACAATTTCAATAAGTTAAAACTAAGACACAATTATACCTCAACCAGGTTGTAAGTATTTTATAATTTGTTCGTGTTCGCCTTCAAGTTACTGTATATGCGGGAATAATTCCATTTGGTGGTTCCTTCTGGCGATCAATTTTACGTTTGGTAAATTGACAGCAATTTACACTGAAAAGGCAAATGCCATGTTCAAGGAAGCATGAGTAAGAGAAGCATATCTTCCAAAGACAATGCTGTGCCATGAAGAATTTAATCACAAAGTGATTTGGCGCAGCTGCCGCAAAAACGGATGGCGCCATCTATTCTTTGAGGTGCTGATGGATATCTGGCAGAGATAAACCCACCCCTCGAAAAGGGCTTCAGGAGCTTATCCATTGTAGCATGATAGCCCTCTCCTCTCCTGACAGTACGGTCAAGAATAGCCCAACAGTGCTTAATGAGATTCAAACCAGGAGAATGAGCAGTCCAGTCTACTTGCTCAATTTCCTGGTTTTGAAGAGTTTTTTTGTGTTCTGAAAGTTGGAACAGAAAGTTAAGACCAAGATTGTCTTTAACATATGGCACCATTTCTATCGCAAGAACGTGCGTGTATAGAGGGCGGCAGCTAAGCTTTCTCTGAGGAACACTACATTGGTTAGACGTCCGTAAGAAATGGCATCCCAAAGATGGACAACACCACTACCATGGGCAACTGTTCCGATCTGTTTCCGACATAAAACATACAGCCTGCTAACAACACGAGAACGAAGAAATCCCACGTCATTAGAAAACCAGACATGCTTCCAATTACACATTTGTTGTGTAGTTGATGGGTTGAATCTTAGCAGCGGTACCTCCATTGTGTTGCCAAAATAAGTTTTCTTGGGAGAACATCTTGACCCAAGCCACAAATCAGAGGTCTGATGTTAACCCATCCTCTGGAAAATCGGGCTTTGATGATTTTTTTTGCCTGTGCCTCAGAGAAGGCTCTGCGTATATAAGGGGGACTTTATGCGGTGATCATGTTCAGGTCTTGTATATTTTATAATTTTTCTTTCTCTGTGGCCATTTCCAGTCTGTGGTTCAACGACTGGCGTGATATTCGAACAAAGTGAACATAAACGCACACCTTGCATGTAGCTTACATTAGTTTGGGTGTGGCACTGAGGTAACAAACCACTGGGAAGTGTTCACATTTGTCCTAGCTTACCTTAATATATAGGAGGATAAATAAATGAAGAAAGGGGTGCAAAAATGTCATCAATTTTGTCAGTAATTTCGCCAGTAATTGGAAAACTTGTAAAATTTGAAGGTGTGCCAAACTTTTGGGGCTACTGTATACTTCGAAATACATGTGCATCTTATTCTAATGAACCCCCTCATCCCTGTCATCCCCCATAAATACTTCAACTGTCATCTACTGTACTTGCAGAGACTGAATTCGCTGAGAAACACCTGAAATAGTCGTGTCCCTATGAATTGTTTAGCTCGTGGATAGGTGGTGTAATTTTGTTGCCCTCGTAACTTAATGTATTGGTTCTACATCTGCGACCGTAAATTTTTGTTAAACCGTTGGCAACAGATAAAATCTTTTAATATTGACAACAAAGTGAAAGTCTATATGGCAAACAGAACAAAATATCACCTACCGGTATTAGTCACAGCCATTAAAGCTTTTAAAAAACCTTTAATTTTCTTAAAGTGGAAATTGAACGTGCAATGTTTACAGTCCGCAATTAACCCAAAGCTAATGTCTTTATCCATCCTGAGCGTAAGCGGTACATTAAACCGATGCAAATGCTGTGGAAATCCTAATTAGTTTTTAAAAGACGTCAGAGCCACCCTGCGTTTCATGGTGTTATATTTTAAGTTGTCCTCATTGCTGTCACATAAGGCAGGCGCCATGAGTACAATACAAGATGACTGTCAAAATGACATTTAAGCCAGGGTGTTGCAATGCAAACCGACAAATAGATGTACAGTTTATCTAATTTTATCTAGATGTATCATCATTTGTCTGCGAAAGATGATGACACAGTATTTGAATGCATGTAAAACCATGCAAAATTGTTACCGACATTGGAATTAAAACCATTAGACCTATTTGTCGTCTCTTTATAACATAAGGCCTTGTGGAGAAGGCCAGTCAAAGGAGGTGAGAAAACGGAAAAGATGGCGTTACGAAAATGGCCTGTCCTGTTGCTACAGCTGCTGTATTTGATTGGGATTTTAAGATCGAGTGCTGGGCTTTCCAGGCAACCACTTGCTCATCAAAGTAATGTTTTTGCAATTAAACTGTACAACAAGATCCGAATGTTACCGCCAAAGTCGAATATATTGTTCTCCCCCTTCAATATCCATAGCGCACTAAGCATGCTGGAACTGGGCGCTCGAGGAAAAACCAAAGTACAAATGGACATCGCCCTGGGGATAGAGCATATTACCGATCTTCATGAAGATTATAAGAATATGCTTGATGCCATGGTGGACCCTAACAACAACACCACTCTCCGTATTGCAAATAGATTATTTGGGGACCAGGGATTCTCTTTTAATACCAGCTATATTGAGGACTGTCTTGCATATTATGGAGCTCCACTGGGACGCCTTGATTTTGTAAATTCTCCGGAAGAATCAAGGACTGAGATCAACAGATGGGTCGAGGAGCAAACGGAAGACAAAATCAAAGATCTTCTCGAACCGGGCGATATCACCCCCTCTACTATTCTGGCTCTCGTAAGTGCTGTGTATTTCAAGGGTAAATGGACATCCCCCTTCGACCCCTCGCAGACCAGAAAACACCCTTTCTATACTGCTAATCCTCGCCCCACGTTAGTCGATATGATGACACAGACTGGACGATTTAGGTATGCCCATAGTAAGATATGGCAGGCCTCCATGATAGAAATCCCTTACGAAGGAACGGCCGGCATGCTGATCATACTACCCGACCAGCGTGATGGACTCAGCCATTTTCAATCTGAGTTTACCGCTGATGAATTGTCTAGACTTTTTTCTTCCATGCAAGAGACGAAGGTTTCTGTGTCGCTGCCCCGTTTTGAATTAGAGGACATGCGCGTTGATTTAAAAGATTCGCTCGAGAGTCTTGGGATAACCGACCTGTTCTCGTCCAATGCTGACCTGTCAGGCATAGGAGGTATGCCTGGCGATCTAAAGTTATCAAAGGTAATATTGCTAGTGATGATAGTACTGGCCAAAACGTTTTGTCTGTTGATCGGCCAGTGCTCCCTATTGCTATAAAAATTGAAGCAAGGCAGAATTTGGAAAGACGGCTTGCATGCAATGCTAGTATGTAAGAGAGGAAATGCAATAAAACGTCTCCAGAGCTACCAACTTTGATATACAAAGAAGGAAAATGGTCATTTATATCCATGTGGGATCCAACCTTTCCCGGTTGTCAAATTGAAATTGAACTGGAGTATTGAATCTGAAAATAAAGGCGACATATATGTTATGGATATGCAAATAAAATAATAACTTTAAACAGAACAAATGCGTTTTATCTCCGTTATCATTTTCGCCTCATCAGATTATCATTTTAATTAATTTTCAGATAATTCACGAAGCCTACATCAAAGTAGATGAAGAGGGAACGGAAGCGGCAGCAGCCACGGCAGCCAAAGTAACCACAACATCCGTACCCCTGTCCTTCACCGCTGACCATCCCTTTTCGTTTTGGATATTTGACAATAGCACTGGCGCCCTGTTGTTTGGTGGCAGGTTAATTGATCCTCCAGAATGTAAGTGCGCTGTTCAATTTTGGTGAAGGATTGGACTAAATTGCGTTATTCATTAAGGGCGTTATGCTTTGTAGTATCGTACATTCCAAACTAAAGGTCTTGTATAGACTAAGGCTTCGTTCACATGCAATGTCTATTTTCTAATTTCTATTTTCTATTTGCGCTATCTTATGATCACGTTCTGTGGCCTGAATATCCCGCCGCGTAATTACTGGCAGCGCGAGCCAGTTACTTATAGTAACTTATAGTAACTGGCTCGCGCTGCCAGTAATTACGCCGCGGGATATTCAGGCCACAGACCGTGATCATAAGACATACCGCAAATAGAAAATAGAATTTAGAAAATAGACATTGCATGTCAGTAGGACACATACTGTCGATGCGGAGTGATATAACGTCGTTTTCTCGCGCCAGGACGTAACGTCGGGCTCAAATTTTGTAAAAATTTTAACTTGGTCGAAGAATAGCTATATACTCTAAATAAATGCACACTTAGCAAGTCTAATACGATATTATGATTGTTGGATATATAGACTTCATATTCATGTACACTTCTATTGAAATTATGTAGTTTAGAGCGAGCTTGCGTTCGTCAAAGTCGCACTGAGCGGTAAAATTTGACCTTGGCAACATCGTAACTTTGGCCACTATTCCTCAACTAGAGAGTGTGCGGGAAATTCCGGATAAGAGATAACGTATCTTTTAATCAATGTTGTATGTATAAAGAATTATTAAAATTCATCTTTGGAAACAAATGTTGCAGAATTTTTTGTACCAAAAATTGTGCAAAATCCAGGTTTTTGCGTCATCCATGACCCAAGACGGGCCCAACTCGGCGTTTGTTTACATTTGCAGATGTACTTTATTTTGGCGATTATCACCGGTTATTTTGGATATTATTACAGTTTTCAATTGATAGTCAAACAATGCATGTCAGTTTCATATCTAACTTGTAAATTTAATATTGTTGCACCTTCTTTTTCTATGCCCTACTACCGGTACATGTACTTTGCATGTTTCAATGTTACTTATGAAATTATGTTGGTAATTGAACATTTCTCAATCAAAAACTTAAGTTTAAAATAAAACAAAGTTGTTTTTCTTTATTTTGCTCAGACAAATTCATCGTTTCTTAAATGAATATTTTAAAGGGTTAACAACTGTTTGTATGAGATTCACATTTAAGAATAAATAGTGTAAAGAACCCATAGGAATACAATATATATTCCATTTTACCACCAAAATGGTAGTTTTCACAATTATTTTGGAAACTGTTCTTGCCATCCAATCACATTGTGGCTGTACTCTGTAATAATCTTTTGAAATATTAAAATTAATTAAAAAAATTACAGTACAGACTAATTTTGAATGTCAAAACTGAAATTGGTAACTATTGGTAAGAAGGGGGAAATTGTCATTTACTCCAGGAGAATCCATTTCGGGCTTATATGAACAGTTACCTCTTTTATAGTCAATAAAAAACAAAGGGTAAAAATACAACAGGATATAATTTTATTTTCAAAACAATGGTACAAGTATACATGCACAGGAAGTCCATATGCATGGACGCTAGTAAGTACACAAAGTATTTAGTTACACAAAGTGTGTAAAAATGTAAAATTAAAAAAATACATATGTCTAAATAAAAACAAAAAATATTTCCAAAATTAATATAAAATTTTCACTTTCATTGCACTAGGTTGANTAAAGTTTTTGGTCTTTGATAAAGGAAATGTTTATTCTGTTTCTTAAACTTATATTTGACTTAATATGGGTCTATAAAGGTGCATTTTAGCACTCAAATCTGCGCGTCACATGATTTGTATCACATGACTTTTTTGAACTTCCACAGTTCAAGGTCAAAAAAATACTGTCGTAGCAAGTTATGGAACATCATTGCTTTGCGTGAAAATTGAGGTTAGTCACTAACTTTTTTGGATGAATAAACGTAATTTTAAGTTCGGGAAATGAATGAGATGTGCACTCTTATCGGAGGTGCCTCAGGGGAGAAATTTTGCTCTGTTTTTTCACAACTTTTCGGATTTTCTGTCGAGACTTCTTAACCAGAGAGTGTGCGGGAAATTCCCTTCAAAATCGAAAACCTGGATATGTATTCGACCATTTTATTAATTTTAAGCCAATTTCGTATTTGGAAACAATTTCCTCGCAATATAGTCCCTCGCTATACAAAAGCATTTTCGGACACGTAAAATTTTCAGTTTTCTTGATTCGGAGAGAAATAATTGTAACTCTGTACAGTGCATTGACAAAAGCTTACAGTTTTTCAATAGACGGATAACTCCTCGTTTAGTCTCTAAAATATGGAAAGTCAATTCACTGTAGTTTTTTCGCAAAGTTTATTTATTTCAGACGTACGCATTTTTCATCGCGCCGCTTTTTTGGCGCTATTTCGTGACGCGGATGTACCAAAAAATCCATGACGTTTCAAATCACACCTAAATCCTGACAGTATGTGTCCTACTGATGTGAACGAAGCCTAACTTTCAGACGCACTAGTCTTTATGGGGTTCGAATTCTTTTAGCACCTTGTACTGGTGGTCAAGTAAGAATGGAGTGCGCATCCACCTGCGAGATCAACTGCCAAAACGTTTTGGAACCGCCTGTAGGTTGCAGCCTGCAGTGCACCCCTACATGCCAGTGTCCCCGTAGTCGTCCCGTGTGGCACAATGGCAAGTGCATCACCGCTGACCAATGTCCAGGCTGTCCAGGAGGGCAGGTGTACGAGGAATGTGGGTCAGCCTGTAACGTCACGTGTGAGAATGTAGATAAGGATAGAGGGTGTACCTTACAGTGCGTACCCAGATGCCAGTGCCCTCGCAACTTGCCTGTTTGGCACAACGAGAAGTGTGTTACAGCCGAGGCTTGTGCGTTGAAGCCACGACCAGGTAAGTTGATTGATTGGAATTATGCATTATGTTTCATGTTTTGTTGAAAAATAACTAATGTCAAGTTATTGTTTCTATCCATTTGTTGATATCCGCGCATTTAACAAAAGCTTTTAACAAGCGCCAACCAAGTCTTAATGTTCTATGTAGCAAGAAATATATCGTGACCTTAGTTGTTAACCACAAGCCGTCATCCTTTTTGCAAAGCTTGCACTATAGTGTTAAACCTTCTCATGAATAACATGACATACAAGTGTAGTCCAGTCATGGGCACACCCCTGTACCAAATATTGCAAACTCGGCTTTGCTGAATTTTCACTATTATGTATACAACAGACGCCACAGAACACTTAGCAAAAGATAATTTAATTTAAGCCGTCACGTGCACTGGAGGACAAGTCTTCAAAGAATGTGGGTCAGCGTGTGACGTCACGTGCGAGAACGTGGGGACTCCTATACCATGTACCAAACAGTGTGTGCCTAAATGCCAATGTCCTGCAGAGGCCCCAGTTTTGCATAAGGGACAGTGCATTAAAGCGGAGGAATGCCCGTCGTGTCCAGGAGACAAAGTGTATATGCAGTGTGGACCTGCGTGTAATGTCACGTGTGATAACGTCAACAACCTTATCTGCAGCCTCAGGTGTGTTGAAGGGTGTCACTGTCCATCGGAACGCCCAGTTTTGCAAAATGACAAGTGTATCACGGAAGAAGAGTGCACTGCATCAGGTAATGGAATCTGAAAGTTCGATACCTAGCGGTTGCGAGCTTCACCCACGTATTGCATGTTCATGGTTATTATTCAGTCTCTTTGTAAATAAAGCCTTAAGTTTAAAACACAAATATAAGTGTGACTGAAAAGATGGAAAAGATGGAGTGCAAAAGAAAACACACACTGACGCAAACTGTAACGGTAACTATGGTTTTATCTTGCAAAGTTCTATACAAAAATTTGAGCTGCCATCATCGTCAGATAAATACTTTCCTAATCTGTCGTTATTAAATAAGCATAACACAGGCAGGTCTACTCCAGTATACCGACTATATTCAATGATATTTAGAAGTACAAAGTATTTTATAGGCGAATGCACCGGAGGACAAGTCTTCACAGAATGCGGTTCAGCATGTGACGTGACATGTGAAAACGTGGGCTCCCCTATACCATGTACGAAGCAATGTGTCCGAAGATGCCAGTGTCCTAAAGATAAACCAGTTTGGCATAACAGACAGTGTATAACTGAAGAACAATGCCCAGCATGTTCTGGTGGTCAAATTTACAAAGAATGCGGTTCAGCGTGTGACGTCACATGTGAAAACGTGGGTTCCCCTGTACCATGTACAAAGCAATGTGTCCGAAGATGCCAGTGTCCTCAAGACAAGCCATTGTGGTATAATGACCAGTGTGTTACGGCCGGGCAGTGTCCAGTCTGCTCTGGTGGACAGATTTATAAAGAATGCGGATCAGCTTGCGACGTCACATGTGAAAACGTGGGCTCTCCGATAATATGTACTAGGGAATGCGTCCGAAGATGTCAGTGTCCTCAAGACAAGCCAGTTTGGTATAATGGCCAGTGCATTGCTGCCGAACAGTGCCCAGTCTGTTCTGGTGGACAGGTCTACATGGAATGCGGTTCATCTTGTGAGACCACGTGTGAGAATTTGAATTCTCTAATGCCCTGTCCATTGATATGTGTTCCAAAATGTCAGTGCCCTTCGGAACTACCAGTATGGCACAACAAGCAGTGCATCCTAGAGGAACAGTGCCGTGTATCACCACTTGCGTCCGTCAGTGAGTACCTCTTGAATTAATTTTAAATGGAATAGTATAAAAAAATTACACTAAGGCTTTTTAAGATGTTCATTAAATTTTAGGTAAATTGGCAGAAGTCTTATCATTATCAAGAACTTGAAGATAACATTGTAAAAATACGCATCTGTTTGGACACTTAGAATAAGTTAATGTATTTTAAGCCACCACGTGCGCTGGGGGACAGGTCTTCAAACGATGTGGGTCTGCGTGTGACGTCACGTGCGAGAATGTGGGATCTCCTATACCATGTACCAAACAGTGCGTACCGAGATGCCAGTGTCCGCCAGAGGCCCCAGTCTGGCACAATGACCAGTGCATCACCTCGGAAGGGTGTCCAGTTTGTTCTGGTGGGCAAGTCTACACAGAGTGCGGATCAGCTTGTGACGTCACATGTGCAAACTGGAACAAACCCACACCGTGTACCGCACAGTGTGTTCAGAAGTGCGAGTGCCCAGCAGACAAGCCTATATGGCACAATGGTCAGTGTGTTACTTATGACCAGTGCCCACCTTGCACAGGTGGACAGGTCTTCAAGAGATGTGGGCTGGACTGCGAGATCACGTGTGAGAAAGTGAATACACCTATACAGTGTAGATTGGACTGTGTTCCTAAATGTAGGTGTCCTCTCAGCCAGCCCATATTTCATAATGGGGAGTGTATCAAGAAGGAGGAATGCCCAGACTCAGGTTAGTGATCAATATCAAATTAATTGAAATTGTGTTATGTTATGATGCAGGCCCGTAGGCAGGGTGGTTCGTAAGAATTGCCCTTTCTGCCGGGTATGAGTCCATTTTGGGTAAAATTTGATCTAGGTACACTAAGGTTTCTTGGTAAAATGTCCACTTTTTCAGAAAAAGAACCCCCTTTTGAAATTGCTGGCTACGGGCCTGTGATGTCAATATTTCAGCAGATTTATAAAAAAATATATGTATGCAATTTAAAGGGAAAATTGGCATGTATTTGTAAACGTGTAAGCATTAAGTTGTGTGCCTGATATTTTAATCATCAAAATGGTTGTATCTGTCCATTTAAGTTAGACGAGAACATACCCTATTAGCCACAAAATGGTACTTAAGTCGGTGTTAAAGGGAAGACAACTCTTCATTTTGACGGGGAAAGATTTCCTGTGGTAAACCATAATTTCCCCACACTCTTCAATGGTAACTGGATCCGTCTCGACATTCGAAACTATTTGATTGTTTTTTTCTTCAAGGTGTGTGTTTTTGTAATAAACTCTTCAGAGATAATTGCAGTGGGTAGCCATCTGTGAATGTCCACGTGGTACGATGGAAAGCACAGATTTCAGAATAATTGTGGCAAAATAAAATTTATTGTATCATTGTGTTGTTTACAATGGATTTATTGTGGAATTTTGTGGAATTTATTGTGGAAGTTGTTATCCCTTTAATGTAACGGCATTAACTGAATACAACAACCACTTGTAATCTATGTTCTATGTTTATTCTATCGTCCCTTTTTATTCGTCTGAAAAATATGCTAATTTCATGAGGTATATCAATCACGCAAATTGAAGTCAGAACCGCAGGTGCAAAATACTTTGGATCTCAGTATATAAAATACAGGGTGACTTCCAAAGTTGTTACATATGTTAATTAGACACTTGAAATGTGCAAACGCTGTTGTTTAAACACATACAAAGCAATTACGATGACCAGGTTTGGTGGTCTTTGCAAGCCTGTAATGTTCTTCTCTGTTTCAGCCGTTGGAAATTTTACTGGCTGGAGTCTTTGGGGCTCGTGGAGCACATGCTCAAAAACGTGTGACGGAGGAACACGAACGAGATCTCGCAGGTGTGGACGAGGTAGCTGCGATGGAGATGACACTCAGAGTGAGGCCTGTAATACTCAATGCTGCTTTGGTAAGAGTCGCCATTTACGCCGTTTTTTCGTTTTTTTTGTTTGTTTGTTTTTTTGGCCCCCCTCCCCCAACAGAAAATATTTTGATCTTTATGAATTGTTAGCTATTTACTCCACCCTCTCCAATCCATCAGATATCTCTTACTTTTTATCCAGTCATACAAGAGTACCACAGGCTTAAATGACCTGCTCGCATGTATACATTATACATGTTAGGCCTTAAACAGCTGTTCCAAAAAGTATATTTCTCGTCTATAACTTATACCTTGGTGATTAAGAAAATATTGCTGAAAATATCCAGGGAAATTAATAAATTTACTGTATGAATTAAGGTTTAATAATAATTAATAATAATAATAATATAACGTATGCCTTTGAACAAAGTACATGTATTATGCAATATTCTGTTCTTTGCAGCCACTAAGTTCCCGCCTCGAGGGTATGACTGCACCAGAAACCCATGGCTGTGTCTTAGCTGTTATGGCGGCGGTAACATCTCTATAGACCATGTGTGTCGCTATCCGCCATGTTCAGTGTTCCCGGAAGCCTGTCGCTATCCGCCTCGGTTTTCTCTGGCCTGCAAGGTTCGTGGTAATTGATCAATGACTACTTTTGCACACTCACTAGAGCCCATTTAACTCTTCAATTTCGATGCAATATTTTTAAAAAAGCGAAATGTTCACATCTCGCGGCAAGTTTTGAAAACTCGATGCTGTAGAAATGTCCAGGTTGTATACACATTTGCAAAAGTGGCTTTTGTCCGATATCGCTGTCAATACCAACAAAAAGGTAAATTTCATTATTTTAAATAATGATGATAATAGTTTTAACAATTGAACAATGAATAGAACTTCGCCATATTTGCAAGTTCTCTTCACTGTTTTTACAAAAATAGCATAAAAAAGTTGCTTTTACATGTATACACTTTATACATAGCCCGATCCGAGTCTGGCGTTAATAGAACGCCGAGTGAGAGCCATGTGCCAGGGCAAGCCTCACTGCAAGGTTCCAATGCCGTGTGGAGGACCCTGGTTGAAGTCAATGGCGGTACAGTACAGGTGTTGCTGTCAGACAGAAGACGAAGTGAAACCACCTCCAGGTGAGTTAAATGACAGCATACCATGATTTAAGTGCATAAAGAAATAAAAACCTAAATGCATAGACCTTAATTTCATTTTGCCTATTGCATTTTTTTTTTATTTCGGAAAACTTATTTAGGGCCTACCAATTAATCGAAATATGTGTTAGAATATGATATTGTCTGTGATATTTAATAGTTAATGGCTTTGTGACTTAAAATAAAAAATTGATTCTTAAATAATAAAACAGAAAATGAAAATAGTACAAATACGCAGAACCGAGTTCGAGCGACAGGAACAGCACTGGCCCCCGTTTCACAAAGAATCTTAAATCCGTAGACGTCTTATTCGAGCTGGGTGGCCTAGCTAGGTCGACTTAGCTGAAGTCGACTTGAAGTGTTTCACAAAGAATCTAACGTCTTAGCTTGGCGTGCTTACCGTAGTCGACGCGCACGAGAAACTCTTCAAGAAAAGGAGGTGTAAAATTGCAAAAGTTTCACAAGACATGACGTTTCATGGCCTCTTTCGGCCGAGAACGATCGTTTATCAACAATAAAAGTCAGCCAAAACACAAACAAAGTTTGTTTTTGAACTTTATTGATTAGTTTAACTTGGGAGGTTTTTGGACCAATCAGGCCCCTGTTTCACAAAAAAACTTAAGTCGGTTTCCCTGACTTAGGGCTTGGTTACCAACGTAATTAAGTCGTTACGTCACTAAGTCCCGTTTCACAAAGAATCTAAAAGGTCGCTTACGTCGTTTTTTTCTTAGCTGTAAGTCGACGATGTCAAGCCTCCTCGGGAGGAGACTTAAGTCGGCAAGCTCAACTAAAACTCGGTAAATGAGAGCATAAACAACAAAAATTTGGAAAGAACATACCTCCTTCAAGATATTGTGTTATAATATCCTTGAATAGCACTGACATTTATGGAATATTAAAATAAAAAATAAAATTCCACTTTACCCAGCCGATCGCGTGTTTGTTTATGTTTTTGACCGCTAGACGTCCCTCAGTAGTGTTCCACGACAAGCTAATGTTTAACTGTTACTTTGAAGTTGTATTGAAGTTAAACTAATCAATAAAGTTCAAAAACAAACTTTGTTTGTGTTTTGGCTGACTTTTATTGTTGATAAACGATCGTTCTCGGCCGAAAGAGGCCATGAAACGTCATGTCTTGTGAAATTTTTGCAATTTTACACCTCCTTTTCTTGAAGAGTTTCTCGTGCGCGTCGACTACGGTAAGCACGCCAAGCTAAGACGTTAGATTCTTTGTGAAACACTCCTAGTCGACTTCAGCTAAGTCGACCTAGCTAGGCCACCCAGCTCGAGCTAGTTGACTACGGATTTAAGATTCTTTGTGAAACGGGGGCTAGAACATTAAAATCTAGCTGACCGACAAAAGTCAGTTCACTTAGTTTGTGTCAGTATTGGCTCATTCGGTTCTTCGGTTGTGTGCTTTGGAATTATTACGTAACTTGTGTCAAGCATCCACAGGTAAATTTTAGGTATGAAGTCAAACCTTTTGTATTGAGATTTTTGTTAAAATTAAAATAAACAGAACTGAATAATAATAATAATAATAATAATAATAATAATAATAATGATGATTGACGGGAATTTAATTCCTCAGAGGAATGCACGGGTGGACAGGTCTTCAAAGAGTGTGGTTCAGCTTGTGACGTCACGTGTGAGAACGTGAACACGCCTATTCCATGCACCAAGCAATGTGTCAGGAGGTGCCAGTGCCCCAGTGACAAACCAGTCTGGTACAAAGGACAGTGCGTAACAGCAGACCGATGCCCTGTGTGTACAGGCGGGCAGGTTTACAAAGTTTGCGGCTCTGCGTGTGACGTCACTTGTGAAAATCCGGACTCGCCTGTACCTTGCCACAAAATGTGCGTCGAAAGGTGTCAGTGCCCAACAGACAAACCAGTATGGTTCCAGGGTCAATGCGTTACTGCTGACAAATGCCCAAAATGTTCCGGGGGTCAAATCTACACAGAGTGCGGATCAGCTTGTGACGTCACTTGCGGAAACTGGAACAAACTAACGCCATGTACATTGCAGTGTGTTCAGAAGTGTGAATGTCCCACGGACAAGCCTATATGGCACAATGGTCAGTGTGTTACTTACGACCAGTGTCCAGTATGCACTGGTGGTCAAGTTTTTAAGAGATGCGGTCTGGATTGTAATGCCACGTGTGAGAAGGTCAAAACGCCCATCAAGTGCCGACTGGACTGCAATCCTAAGTGTAGATGTCCCTTCCGTCGCCTCATACTTCACAACGGCCAGTGCATCTCCAAGAACGAATGTCCAGATCCAGGTATGTTATAAATCTTTTAGATTCGTATATGAATATCTTTCTCTTATATACAGTTACCCACAACACAAGTTCTCATAATTAATTTCATTGCGAGCCGTGAACTTCTTTAAACTATGTTTTGCATTACCCTTATTTCATTAGACCACAACATTCTTTCTTTCCTATCGTTATTGACAGTGACTGAATCGGGCGTTTTGTTTTGGTATATGCAAAATGCATATGTGCATTACGAATTTTAAAAATGATGACTTGTTGTCGTGTTGTGTCTTACACGCAGCGTATTAAATAATTTTTGTTATTCTTGAATAGGGTATTGGAATATAATTTTCTTGCACATGTTGAGCAGCATATATTTCATGGGTTTATGAGACTTCATTATATGATCGACAATAAACTCTTTGAATAATCGTTTTCTATTATTCGTTTTATGCGATGTTATACACTGATATTCCAGATGTTAATAACTTCATCGGTTGGAGTCTTTGGGGCTCGTGGACCGCGTGTTCAAAATCGTGTGACAGTGGTATTCAAACGAGGTCTCGCACATGTGGACGTGGAAACTGCGAGGGTGATACGAGTCAAAGTCGACCATGTAACACTCGCTGCTGCAATCGTAAGTACCCTGTGACGTCATGGTGATATCTAACCGTAATGCCACATGTGAGTGACGTCACTATCATGCGATGTCAAGCAGGGCAAGTTTATAACTTATTTCACCATTTGTATATAATGTATAATATATTGTTAATCACATTTTTATATTATCTTCAGTAAATAATTTTGAGGCGAGTAGTTTACAATAGCGATTTTTGAGAAGAGTGGAGAGACAAATAACATCCATTGTGCTTATCCTAACAAGTATGTTTTAGCTGTCCGCCTTAAAAAACACCCACTGATTTTATTAGAATGGCATGCATTCATATTTTGAACTTGATTGCACATTTATTATACTAACAGCCCTGAAGGCCCCGCTGCGCGCCTTCGACTGCACCCGAGATCCCCTGTTGTGTCTGAGCTGCCAGGCCAAGACGTACATCTCGATAGATCACGTGTGTCGCTACCCATCATGCTCCTCGTTCCCAGCGGCATGTCAGTATCCGCCACGCTACACTCTCGCCTGCAAGGTACGTCAGTAGCCGGCGCCATGTTCCACGAATCGCTCAGGATCTGTATTTTATGTGATGTGAAAAAGGTTTTGGTATAACAAAAGAAACGAAAAAAATGTATCGCTTCTCATGGACTCCCTGCGGAAACATTCAAGAGTTATTGAACCACTTGTATCATTTATTAATTTCACTGTTCGTGAAAATTTTATACGGCTTTGCGATAGGTCAACTTGTTCATAAGTGGCCAAGAATTAAAACTAAAGAAAAATGAATAAAAATCCATGCGTTCTTCTTGCAGCCTGACCCAAGCCTTGCTTCCATAGAGCAGCGCGTGAGGAACCTGTGTCAAGGGAAAACCACATGCAACATCCAAATGCCGTGTGGAGGCGCCTGGCTGAAGTCTTACGCCGTGAAGTACAGCTGTTGTTGTGCTCCTGTAGCAAAGGTTGCCAAGCAACCAGATGTAATGAACATTGTATACAAACCATAAAGGTCTAGACTCTTTTGAGTTTCTCCCAGCTGGCACACCACTAGGAACTAGGAGCTGGCTAAAACCCGGAAGCAATGCACTGTTCGACAAAACCCGCGTGGTGTGTTAGTGGGTGACTAAAACTGACGTTGATTTTCAACATATTTCAAACGTGAAATGGTTATTGCTTTACTTAATGTTCCTTATTTCCACCTATAATATGCAAATCTTACTGGCTAGCAGGTTTATAATTGCCACAAAAATGCAATGAAAGGCCTACCTCTGAACAGCTATTTATCTGCATAGCAGACAAAAGTCCAATAAAATCATAAATGATGCTACCAATTTCCTGTGAATGATACTTGCTATTTGAACCAGGCCACATATTGCAGCAATGTTGGATCTGGAGTATTTGATGCATGTTTTGTAAAAGAGTCTTAGGGGTCTTTCAGAATAGAGGATCCGAGAACTAACTGATCCGCCCACTAAATATGGCCGACCCCACTTCAAAAGCGATGCCGCCAATTCCATGATGGTCTGCCCGCCTCCACACGCGCTGCATCTGCAGGGGCCTAGCAACTAAACCTCGGAGCCGAGATTTAATCCATGTGGAGGCGGGAAGACCATCATGGAATTAGCGGCATCGCTTTTGAAGTGGGGTCGGCCATGTGTAGTCGGCGGATCAGTTATAACTCGGATCATCTATTCTGAATGGCCCCTTAATTACCCTGACTGACGGAAATCACATTTCCTTATACAGTTGTGCAAGGAAAGCCAACAACGTACGTTATTTGTGGTAACGCAGGGTTTGCAATACCGCAACTTAGGAAGGGTCCATTAAAACGCACTTCCATTAATTATGATCCCATCTTCTCAGTCAGGAAGTTATTCAGTTGAATTCAACGAGATCTCATCTCAACTTATATTGTAGAAACCGTGTCAAGTATCAAGTCAAACTGAATCCAGTTTGCGAAAACCTCCTTTTGATGAGTGAGTCAAATCGCTCATTTTGAGCTACCGTCAACAGGTTCTTCCAGTCTCCAATTTTGCCTAAAATGAAATATAAGACGTGGCACTTGCTGGAGAAAATAAAACGACTGATAATGATAACAATAATAAGATTAAAGCATCACTGTTCATCAAAAGCATACATCTAAAATATAGCAAGTATAGTTAACATGTACACCGACATTGGGGTAGCTTTTGATCTAGCAATGGGCCATTGCAATGTTGCTAGAGAAAGAGCAATTTACAACAATAATTCAAATTATAATTGAAATATGCAGTGACAAGAACACGCAAACGTGACGGTACACTTATATCTGTATTGATGTTGAAAGATTTTTCTCTATTTTCCTTTTTGCACAAACTGTAAGAAAACTCCTCTTATAATCGAATTCAAGTCAACATTAATTCTGTAAAAAGTAGGCAACTAGCCAAAATTAAGAATTAAGCCTATTGTCATCTTTATAACCCGTAATATATTACCTTTTCTGTAAATCCCAGCAGATGTATCTTTCCAGTTCTCTTGGTCCCAACCGTCTTTATCATCTCTGGCCTTTTTCATGCTGTCAAACTTGCATTTCATGGCGATGTGCTCCAAAGTGGCGGCCTCTCGCTGTAAGTCCAAGAAGTCTGAGATCCTTTTAATGGTAGGGATAGGGTCCTAAAAGAATATGCAATTTGAATTTGTTTGGAATGTTTAAATTTGAAGTAAAAGTAGCGCCTGGACGCTACCTCTCTCTCTCTCTCTCTCTCTCTCTCTCTCTCTCTCTCTCTCTCTCTCTCTGCAGCACATACACACACACACACACACACACAATCGCGAACGCGTGCACACACACACACAATCGCGAACGCGTGCACACACACACACAATCGCGAACGCGTGCACACACAGTCATTTGAAAAAGTACTTAAATTTACACTTAATGAAAAGTTCGTTCTGTTATCCCCGTACTCATATCTCAAAACCACAGAGCATACCCTTTTAATAATGAAATTAACACTGTTTCTCCCAAACTGAAAATGTCCGTTTAATCGACTTGAATTAGATCAATTCACGTCATAGCAAAAGCGGGGGATGTGGGTAGTTTGGAATTCGAGGGAGTAATGTCCGGTAAAGGGTCATCCATTTTTATCATCACTTTCACACTATACAAACCATACCCTGGAGGGAATTGATGGAGGGGATTGAATAGTAACAAAATGAAGTTACTGGGGTGTCCTGAAAAATCTACTCTTTGTAGATTTAGGAAAATGATGGTAAAAATGGATGACCCCTAAGTATCAGTATAAATCCTTTGATATTTCTTCTTGCGCGTGGGCGAACACAAACACACACACACACACACACACACACACAATAAAGATATATCAATTTTTTGTTCGTCGTTATTTAAATTGATGTTGTTGAAACAATATAACTCGTAAAATACTCACGCTGACTAAATCTTCGTATCTAACAAATGTTACATTACTGTTTTTCTTTGCAAATTCCCACCAGCCCTTCGTGTGATCCACCCACGATATAAAACCTAAAATAAAAGACGGACATTTCAGTAAATATGTAAGAAATCATTGAACTTGTTGCTTGTTATTCTTTATTTTTTGTTCAATGATCAAGAGTTTCGATTTAGATGGCGTTTTCATATAGGGACAAAAATCACTTAGCCTACTTTGGAACATAAATTATATACATGAAACAGCAACAAGAGCACCGATTGGCAACCTGACGTTAACAACATTCTTTTTTATAATCAAAGTTGCCAAGCACTGTCTTACTCTCCGGTCCACCCAGGTGCTGCTCATTTCTCTGCATCATCAGCTCAAAGAACCCAGACCACGTGCCCGAGTATTCCCGCCACTTCAGTCCACGTAGCTGGTGGTAGAACGACACATAGGCGTCTTTGGGGTTACGGTAAACCACAACGATTTTCGCACTGCTTAAAACGGACGGCGGCATCTTGACCACACCGAGATGGGAAGCCATGACTCTTGGTGGTGGAAGGTTGGATGTCAGGGCAGACGGGCCTTCGAATTCAAGCAGCGCATCGTCCAGTGCGCGCTCTGGATAGGACGGGTATTGACTGCTGTCCACAAGCATGCTTGTTATAGTCCAGACGAGATGAGTACCTGTTCCACAGAGTGCAGAATGGTAATTAGTTCAGTATTACCCTGTACTAGGTAAAATGCAATGTTAATTTTGGGGTTTTCCATAATAACACACGATATACTATTACTCTTTAACTGTAAATATGTTACTGTTCCAACAGGCACTTGTGCTGTATTCCTATTATCCTTAAACTTGACCTCGACTGTGGAATGCGCTGTTAATTAAATAAATAATAAATATACGGAAGGCCAGCAAGTTGGCATTTTGTGATCTACTATATGCAGGTCTTCTAACCCTTAATACAATTGCTTTCATATACTCCCGATGATGAATTGTGTGAAAACGATGACGATATAGTATATGCTTACTCGCAGACGTATAGACCTACGTCAAAGATGTACCAGTACAAGTCTAGGTCATTATACCCAATCTAGCGGGCACATGCTGTCCCTGTCACTGCCTATACTCATACCTGACTTGGGAAAAGAGCACACAAACACATCGTCCGACCTGCACTTGAAGTCGGACATTTGTGCCATTTTCTCCTCAAGGTTGGAGATCGGCGGCATGTCTATGAAGCCCACGTCATTGTAGGCGACCATGGTGTCCCCCTCCCCGTCCTGGACCTTGGTAATCCCCGTGGGGTGTCGCAGTTGAACATTCCCTGGTGTGGGAGTATCCATGGTGGCGTAGACCGTATGCCTCTTGTTGCGCCGCTATGGTGGCTTGCTGCAGACGGAAGTTATAAAGGAAAGAGGCCGACAGAGTTTTTTTTTTTAAACGAGACAGTGGTTCTCACAGCAGAGTATATGATAAGGTTACCCGCACACGCAGCTAAACACGTGTTATTGATTATATGGTTGTAATATAGTTGAATAGAAGTAGGCCCTCGCATGCAAGTAAACTCTGCCGAAGTCCTCGTGAGAAAGATGCAGCGCCGTTATAGCCGTACTGCAGTAACCGTCATGTTTACAGACCGCTTACCTCCAGAAAATAGATTTAACAAGTTAATTGTGCATGTTTATAAGCTGTGTAATAATTTTAATCAACTGATATGGATTCTCATTTAGCCATAAACGCCTCGCTTTGTGTCGTCTGCTGGATGGAGTGGACTAACAGATCGGGCTAAGTAGGCCTACGTGTACTAGTTACTGTCACGTTGAACCAGTGCACGCAGTTGCTTGCACTTTGTTTGGTCTTTTGCAAATTACACATAATATGTGATGATTCCCAAGTCTTATCGAGCCCGAATAAAACTATCGGTTTTGGCCCAATATTGTTAAAGGCGGAATAAGGGGGGGGGGGGGGTATACATTTACTAGTATTTACACTATGCGCTATTAACGCATGGTTTATACAGTTCAAAATGGGGAGGTAACAAAAACAATTATTATAATTGCACTGGGAACATATTTACGTGGGAACATGTACGTATTTAAATGACAAAGGCAAGACTTACAAAATTGCAGAAACATTATAATAATAAAAGCCCAAAAATATTTTATTTGTTTCAAATATGTTTTGAAAATATAATCAAAGGTGAAGATACGTGTATTTCGAGCGACGCCATAAGTTTTTTCAACTTTTTCAATTGGAAGTGTATTTTCACACCAGTTTTGTGTCATTTTGTTGTTGTTCAAAGGCTGTACTGTGAAATGTATATTGTAACATTTTATTCGTTTCGCAACAATATGTACAACTCCTCTACAATTCATGTTTTATAACACGCAGTGCAGGTTCCATAGAAAAAAAGGCAACAAATAAACACAATATAACATAGTCAACAGTAATCATGATCATTTTGAAAAAGCATACAAAAATCCAACACCATACTGGGCCAGTATGAAAAATAATGTCAACAACCATTTTCAATAGCAATGATATGTCTTAATGAATTTTTCATTAAAAAAGTCAAATATATATTAATATAAACTGGAATTGTAATATAAAATCATCTTTCTTTCATCAGCCGTACATTCTTTAAGTTTGGCGCTGCTCATAAGTGTAATAGGTTATTGTGTTGAAAGTTTTGATTAGAGAATGCCAGTAAATGCGCTTTAAGTGTCAGTAGTGTCATTCGGCCACCTTCGGATAATTCCGTGCCTCCCGCCGGGCAGTTCGAAATCTCCCGCGGCAGATGGAGTGACAGGAATATATGTAACGGTGTGTTGTCACTAGTAGACTTAGTTATTGTTGTGTGGAGGATGTGTAAATGAGGTAGGACGTGAGCACTGGTACTGTAGCTGGGAGCCAGCTGAAGCCAGCTTATTGTGGCATGTGTTCGAAAGTAACTCAAACTTTTCAGTAATTGTGGTTGCTGTGACGAAAGAGATTGTGACATTGTGACAGAAGTAATATCGGTTTGAGGCGGCCAATGAGCATCTTAAGTGCATGCACTGTACGTGTAGATGAATACATTAAATGTCATGCTCCTTAAATATCAGCCGGTATATGTACAGTATGTGTATAAAAATATTTACATCTTTTATATGTGCATACAATTCCCAACAAAAATCCAATTTACTATGATCCCATTAAAATATACAGAGTTTTAGTCTTAAAAAGTAAAGTTAACACACTGTAGTTCTGGTATTAGTCCCTCATAACAGCCACATGACTAAGTTTCTTACTATGAAAAAATATATTACCCTATAAATTAACCTGCTAAACTTTTTGCAGGAGATACAAGCATCACAGGTTTACCAGAACTTGTGCTTTTACACAATGCATATCATGGAGTTTAATTGGTGCTTTAACTTTAAAGGCGATTAAAAGATGGTCATTTTAGATTAAAAGAAGGTCATTTTAGGATTGGGACCTGTTTGTTGTTGGAATACTTTTAATTTCTTGTTGCACTGGCGTCATATAATAAAAGACACTTATTTGTTAATTATTTTACCACCTGCATGTGACTATAAAAGTTACTGGTAAATGACATTGTAACAGTTTTAAAATTTTATAAATTTTATAAAGTATTTAAAAATACTGCTGCTTTTGCAATACTGTAATAAGCTGAAAAACAACATGAAGAATGTCATGTTTTGCATCAATTTGGCATCAAAAATCAAAGGCACATTAAGTATTCAAAGACTGCTTCTATCATGAATGTGCCTAGTTGTAAATACATGTATCACAAAAAAAGCTCCCCTTTTCACTGAAATATCGTGTATGAATACAGTTTCCTTTGGTTATGGACAAAGCTGGCGTTTAGTATACCATTGTATAGTGCCCAAGTAGGAAGCAGGGAAGTTCTCCCTGACCTGGCCAGAACAGAACTGGATGTTTCTACTAGTACTCTCTCATATGTACTAGTGAAAATAATGCAAGTGAGCAAATTGTGGCTGGGCAACAATACTCCTTAAACCATATTAATCCTGGTCAATCAATAAAATAAATAAAGATTAAAAAATAGTAAAATGAAATATTGCCCATCACGTCTTGTTTGTCATTTCACTGGAAGCTCCCCCTGGGGTGCGTCCCCCTTCCCCTGTCTCTTGGTCAGTATATGGAGTCTCCGTCCCTTCAATGGTCATTTGTTCCTCTCCAGTAGCATCTTCACCATCCTCCTCCAACTCCTCTTCTTCCTCCTCAAGAGGAGCCTCCTCTCCTCCTATGCTGCCCCGCTGGCTGTTCTGTGCCTGCGTCTCCAAAATATCCTCCATGAAACTGTGCCTTTTTTTCTGTGCACTGTCATTCTGCAGCTTTTTCTTTGGCATCTTCCAGGCGTTCCAGATACGGATTGTCTTGTCTCGTGAGCATGACACATACTGAAAAGTTTAACATTTTTTATATAAAAAGAAACATATCATTTTGATTAATTTCTTGTATATTTTATAAATATCAGAAAATTACAAAGAATTTATCATTTTGTTAATTGTTTTCTTTTGGATATGTATATTTGTACCTCTTTGGCATATTTGCTAAATAAAAGCAATTTCTCCAAATCCTTGCATCTTTTTCTCCAAATTGTTACATAGTGAAAAAATGCTTTAAGACCTGGAGCTCTTGAGTTATTTGTGTTAAAATCGATCTGCATGAATCTCATACAATTCTGATAAGATATACAATTTTTTTTGATATACATGTAATATTACTCATTATCTGTAACTGCTAATAAAATCCCTCTACACAACTAAGTACCCCAATTTACCTGATTTCTCTCCCTAATGTGTACTATACTCCTCACGGCATCAGTATGTCCCATGTTGGTTTGAACCAGGCGATAGTCTTCTGGATCATAGACCCTACAATTAAGAATGTTTAGCATTAAAACAAAAAAAAATATCTTGTTAAAGAAAGAAATACATTAATACCAATTTTAAGTAGATAAAATGTAAATGTCATTCTACCATTACTTAAGGAAAAAGCTTTATCTGCTTTATCTGCCTATTTTGCTTTCTATCAGTCTAAGACTGGGTTCCCATACCTAACAGGATAGATCCACCTGCAAGGGGTTTCTCGGTAAATTGCTTTCAGCTTAAGCGGCTTAGATGTCTGGCACGTCAACTGAAGCTTCGCATCTGCAGACCCCCCCTTCAAATAATCCTGGATCTGCCCCTGTGTGTGTGTGTGTGTGTGTGTGTGTGTGTGTGCGTGCGTGCGCGTGTGTGTGTGTGTGTGTGTGTGTGTAGGTTACCTGATGATCTCCTGCACCCCAGCAATAATGCTGCCATTATTGATGTCTATACACAAGGTGGACACTGACCCCTGGGCATTCACCACCTGCTCACACTCATGAAAACCCAGTGCTGTCTGGAAGGAAAATATTTCACAATTTTTTTAACATGAATTAAAATAGCAATTCAAAGAAGCCACTTTGTAGAGTAAAACATTTAAAAATATGGAAGTTTTCACTGATTTGAATAAAAAGTTCAGAAGCAGTGTGCATTGTTTGTACAAGGAAATATGTTAATTTGCTTCATAAATGTACTTGAAGCTTCCACGTAAATGTTTTCACATAATAGTACCAGTATACTTGTAAAATGCCTACAGGCTTTTTATTTGTGCAAATTTCTTTTTTCCATCTTTTGTATATAAAGAGAATCTTTTATATATATCTATATTATAATTACACATATAATATTTACACAAAAGCTAGTTCTCTCATCAAAGTTATAAGTACCAGTACATGTATATTATCATTCAGCATTATTAGGTATCATGTCACTGTGGTACCTTAAAACCCCAGATCTGAATGGTGCCATCCTCAGACCCTGTCACCCAGGTGCTGTTGACACTGTTCCACCTGACCGCTGTGATCTCCATGTCATGACCTTTAAGCGTGTCCACCAAGGTCATCTCAGAGCCCACAGTTGAGAACTTACGGATGTAAACACTCTTGTCTGAGGAAGCATAGGCAAACTCATTCCTAAAAAATATGACATTGAAGAGACACTGACTGTACATAAAATACTACTATAATAATTATACATATAATAATTTGTAAACTGTTTGGTTCAATTAACATGGGTAATGTATATGACACTGACTACAACACTAACATTACTATATACATGTACATATTTTCCAGATTAATACTTAAATGCTTACATTTAAGTGGAACAGTTTGAGATTAGAGAAAAAACTATTTGGTAAATGAAGAGAGAGAGAGAGAGAGAGAGAAAGAGAGAGAAAGAGAGAAAGAACCTACTCCTTGGGGTTATAGTCCATATCAGTGATCACCCCATCACATGCAAGCTCTGCAAACTCCAGGTCTGTGGACTGTCCTGTGTTACGA